GGTTCTGGTAGTGCAGGGTATGGTTGGGATAGGGTATTAGAGTGGCCAATGGGGTGGATGGCTAGTGGTGTCATGCAAGGCACCATTGCCACCCCAGTCTCTTTTTTTATTATTAATTATTAATTATTATATATAATTATTAATTAATTTCAATATTAATAAACAAAATTTAAAAGCAAAATTTAATCTAGTAGATTCAGATAAAATTCGATGTCTACAGATAGGATTACGATGTATAGAGGCTTAACTTGTTAAGGTACAATGGGTGAGGTATTTTAAAAAAGCCTTGCGAAGCCTCTTACATCCATCTGTTGCTTAGTATGGGGCACTGCATTACCAAAAAGAATAAGAAAATAAAGTTGCTTTTTTACTAACAGCTTTAACTTTTGGTGTAGTGGTAAGTGTTTTATCCTGAAAACTAGTATCAAAGTGAGTTTGTAGGTTTGAGTCCCACAGGTGCCGTTAGAGGGGAAAATTGTTGGATTATAGGGTCGAGCAATCTCTCTTAAGGACTCGGTATGCTGGTCCATCTAAGTGAGGTATCCCATAATAGATAGGATTTCAATGTGTGGTGGCCCAACCTACCAAGGTTTAATGGGTGACGTATCCCAAGAAGGCCTTGTAAAACCCCTTATGTTCATATATCACTTAGTACAGGGCTCTGTGATACAAAAAAAATAAAAAAAATAAAATTGCACCTTCACTATCAGCTATAGCTTTTGTTGCAATGGTAAGCACTTAATCTTAAAACAAATTATTAGCTTTGAATTGATCATTCTTTTGAAATAACAAAACATTAAGCTAAATAAGCTTGATTAAGATTTTAAAAAAGATTTATTTAGTATATGTTCTTAAATTTTATTATTTTTGATACTAAATAAATAATATGTTTTTCAAAGTGTAAACAAACCTTTATTTATTTTTATATTTCTTAAACAAAATCTATCTTTAAAGATTATTTGTTTGAACTTAAATGAAAGTCTAATTATTGTTTTTAAAGTGAACTTATTCATTTTGGACTCAATACAATTTTGATAATATTGGTTTTGCGAAATAGATTAATTTAAGAAAGTTGTTTTATAATAACAATGTTTTCCAACATTAAATTTGTTTTATATTTCTTTATTAATTCACAAAGTTTTAATATTTAAATTTTATATGGTTGGAAAGCTCTTTGAGTCTACTTTTTAATAGATTAAACAAAATCAAAATCAAAATTTTTTAAGATATGATTTTGAATTTTTACTAAATACTATGCAATTGTCTAAAAACTATACAAACAAGTAATTTTGAAAATTTACTATAATTCATATACAATGAATTAGTATTAATTTTATATGCATGAAAGCCCTTTAAATCTAGTTTCTAAATCTTCAAACGGTTTTTGATTTGGAGTTGTATAACTTAAGATATGATCAAATTAGTAATTAGAGTGCAAAACAAGAGACAACCAGCGATACTGTTCATCCAGAATCTAAAACCTAGCTTGACCCAATCGATCCCCTCAATTGTAACAGTAAAAAATTGAGTGGAATTCAAGAATTAATCGATCCTTTGATGCATCAGATCAATCCCTTATCAAAACCAATCGATCCTCTGATACATCAGATCAATCCTCTATCAAAACCAATCAATCCATTATGCCTAAAAGTGTTCCAACGGCTAGTTTCAAAGGAGAAAATCATGTCTTTTCATTTCCAAAGCTTATTTATGGCTAGTTCCTCAATTCCTTTATAAATTGGGCATTCCAACACACTAAGAAGGTTAATGAATCAAGATAGCAAGATTAAACAAGTCATACTTTTATTTTCTCAAAAAAATTAAGAGTTTTAGAGCTTAAATTCAATATCTTTTGTATTTTTTGTATTCAAAATATTGTTGTGTATCATTTACCATTTTTTTGTACTTAATTTGCCAAATACTCAACCTTAGATATGTTTTTTAGTTTGCAAAAATCATTTGAGATATTTTGTAAACAAGAGGTGAGGTATCATCTTGATCTTGTAAAGACAGAGATTGTTATATAAGCCCTAACAAAAAGATAGGGATTTAGTACAAGATAAGTTTGTATCTTATGAGAGTTTTCTTCAATTAGTGGATTGAAACCTTGGTATGAACAACCAAGAGAGAGTACTAGGTGCCTTGTAAAAAAGGATAAAATCTCTATAAATCATTGTATTTGATTTCTTTATCCCTATCTTTTACTTTGATTATTGTTTATATTTGCTTCAAGTTCACCAATTTATTTGCATCATGTTTTGATATTGGTTTTAATTCTACATTCAATTATATTGAAATCATTGTTTGAAAATAATTTTGAAAGATCCAATTCACCGATTATCATTTCATCTAAAAAGCTAACAATTGGTATTAGAGCTTTGGTTTCTTTTTTAGGTTTAACCATTTTGAGTAAACATTCTATGGCTTAATTTAATTTTCAAGATAGTAATAAAATCCTCAAAGCCCCCATGTCGGTAAATATGAGTTTTGTGAATGGAGAATGAGGATGAAAGTATTCATAATGATATAAAATTTTAAAGCTTAGAATGTGATAGAAAAATGGTTTGAAATTCTTTCAAATGATGCAAGCTATATGAGGCAAGTGGTAGATAATTCCAAGACCAAGTGCTTACTCTATGAAGCTTTTGACTCTTATAACTTTAACTTGGATTCAAATTGCTCAACCTCGAATGAGATATAGAAGAAGTTAGAGGAAATACATGAAAGGCAAATCTCTAACCAAAATGCATCATATTTCATGGCTCTTGAAGAACTTGAGGTAACCTCTAACTCTTGTGATTCAAATTCATATACATTTGATGAATTGTAAGATGCTCTTAATGAGTTATATGTTGAATATGAATCAATAAGGAAGAAATATAAGAAAATGTTTTCAAAGTTGAATGTAGAAAATGAGTTTTTGATGAATGCAAAAAATGTTTTAGAAAAAAAAATGAAAGTTGAAAATAGATTTTGAAACCTCTCAAAATAGAAATGAATTTTTAGAAAAAGAAAATTTGATTTGAAAATGAAATTTGATGAATTGATGAATGAAAACTAAAAGCTTGTCAAGAATTGTTTAAGTACTAAAATGATCAAATGCAATTTTTGTCATTTTCATTGTCATACTTCACCTACTTATCTTATAAAAATAAAAATTTTATTTAGAATTAGGTAAGTATAGGTTCCTAAAGGAACAAAAGATATTATGACTAACTTTCATGGACACAAAGTAATTTAGGTACCAAAATTCAAATGAGTAATATTTCTTATAAATATGCTAGAGTAAAGAATTATAATGTACTTTTGGAAATTGAAACTCTAGACACACGATGGAGAGATGGATAACTTTTAAACTTTTATTTGAAGTGAATTTAAAATTGATTGCCTATTTTTGATTTTAGGCATATGTTATTGTATCATGTATGAACTTTCGTATGATATGCATATATTATATCATGCATTTGCAATTATTAATGATATGTATCTTTTTTTTTTTTCATATAATCAGGCAAAACTTTCAAATTTTTTTTTTTCAAATAACACCTCAAGAGATAGAATTTGTCAATTTCTTTATTTTTTAATAAGATATCAATATTTACTATACATTTTAAGTAATTTTATTTTTTCAACTCCAATTAAAAAACTCATTTTGAAATTTACTTGTTATTCTTTTCATATTATTTATATTATTTATTAATTTTTACAAATCTAAGGATGTCAATATTTCATACTTTTTTATATTTTTTATCCCTAACATCAAAATTTTCTATTATAATTTTTTATATCATCAAATTTCAATATTTATTTTTTTAAATAATACTTATCTAAACAATATAATTACATATGTTGTTATTTTTAATTGATACATTTTGCAATTCTTGTATTTCAAAATTTTTCAATCAACACACTCTTAAAAAAAAAAAATCAAGGATGAAAAAAATCGTAAATATTAAGAATCGATTCCCATTTCTCTTAAGAGTTAGGTAAATTATTTGAGTTACACTTTAAGTTTTTTATTTTTTGCCATTGAATTAATTAATGTTCTTAAAACAATAAAAATATGACATATGAATATTTGATTCACATTAGAGAAAAAAAAAGGATATTTGATTAATTAATTTCAGATAAAAAAAACTAATTCGAATATTTTCATCTTTTGATATTAAAAAAAAAAGAGAGTATCATTGTTTATAAAATAATGCTAATCTTACTAAAATTGACAAATAACAAAAAAGATAATTCGGGTCTCTTTGAGGGTAAAAGGGTTTATTTATTGTATTCATCGAAAAAAAATTGGCTATCCGTTATTTTTTTTCTTTCTTTAGTTTTCAATTATTTCATTAAATATTTTAGTAAAAAAATGATTTCAAACAACTTTTAAAGATAATTCACAAAATACTATTAAATACAAATATTTCTCCAATAAATTAATTTTTTTACATGAAAATTATATACATGTTAATGATAATAAAAAATATTAAAAAGTTTTTCAAAAAAAATAAATAAATAGAACAAGAGTAGTAGGTGCTTATGTTTGAAAATAAAATAAATGATGCATTCATTTCTCAATTTAATAGATTTTTGTTGATCAAGAAAAGAAAAAAAAAACAGAATCGAAAGTTGTATTTAGGTCAATTAATGCATCTATGTTTAAAGGAGATAATTAAAATTTTTTTTTCAAATATTAAAAAAAATACTAAAGTAATAAATAAAATAAAATAAAACGAAGCTAAAATAACAATGAATTGGTAAGTATCATTTTTAAGTGAGATTTATGATATTAAAAAATAATTTTTTAATAAAAATCATGTTTAAATAATAAAAATTTCATTTTGTCAAATGAGTACTGATAATCGAATTCTTAAAGATTAAGCACAAAATATTTTTTTCGGTTGAATTAAATAGATAAAACTTGAAACTAACGGTAGATTATAAAAATTTTAAATAAATAAATAGTTTTTTGGATAAGACCCGAATAGGAATACGCAATTCGGGTTATACTGATCCGGTGAAGAAAACAACAACCAAAACTAAAAACCTCGAGAGTTAGGGTTTTGCACATTTACAGAGCTTGGAAGTTCGTACAACAAAAAGCGGAAGAGATGTGGAGGTCAATAGCAGCAAGGTCCAGGCAGGTGGTAGCACGGGAGTTCTGTGCGACCCAAATTAACCAGGTTCTATCTGAAACTCAAAAACCTTTCCATTCCTTCCCTAAAACCTCACTCTCTCGAATCCATCGTTTCTTCTCTCATTTCTCTGCAAATCCAAGTGATGATTCATCTCTGGGTTTTTCAGAAAATGGGGATTCCCAGTTGGACAGTTTTTCCATTGGGATTGAGACTAATGCCATGGAAGTTCCCTCTTTTGAGGGTTTTGATGGTGAGGAGACCCAGATTGACAGTTTTGTCCCTGGAGGTGCCAAAAATGACATGGAAGAAGAGACCCAAGTTAATGAGATTGATTGTAACAAGTTAGAAAATGTGTTGTCTTTGTTGCAAAGTAGAGTTGATGGGTCTTTGGAGTCAAGTCTTGATGCTATGGCTTTAGATTTGCATGAAGATTTTGTTGTCAAAGTTCTTGAGACTCCATTTATTTTAGGTGAAAATTTGATCAGGTTTTTCAAGTGGGTAATGGAAAAACCTGGGTGTAGAGTGACTACCTCTGTTGTCGATTCCCTTGTTAAAGTTATTTGCAGTGATCTTAGAAAGAAGAATGCTTACAATTTATGGGATTTGGTTAAGGAAATTGGGGAGAAAGAGAATGAGGTTTTGACTGTGGATGTTCTTAATGAGTTGATTGCTTTGTTTTCGAAGTTGGGTAAAGGAAAGGCAGCGATGGAGGTGTTTGATAAATTTGGGGATTTTGGTTGTGTCCCGAATGAGGAAACTTATTATTTCACCATTGAAGCTCTCTGTCGACGGTCTTTTTATGATTGGGCATGGTCCGTATGTGAAAAGATGCTTGATAGGGAGAGCTTGCCAGATGGTGAGCAAGTGGGAAAGATTATATCTTGGTTTTGTAAAGGGGGTAAGGCTAAGGATGCTCACACTGTTTATTTGTTGGCTGAGGAGAAAAACAAGCAGCTGCCCCAGTCTTCTGTTAATTTCTTGATCATTTCACTCTGTAAGAAGGATGAAACAGTGAAATTAGCTTTGGAGATGTTGGATGGCTTTTCTGGAGAAGCAAGGAAGTATGCAATCAAGCTGTTCTCATCTGTTGTTCATGGTCTGTGTAGGATGAAGAATGTTGATGAAGCAAAAACATTGCTTCTGAAAATGATCGCTCAGGGCCCACCCCCTGGAAATGCAGTTTTTAATTCAGTTATCCATGGCTATTCAAAGGGAGGGGATATGGACAAAGCAAAGGAGATGATAAAACTGATGGAGGAGAGGGGGTTGAAACCTGATGTTTACACATATACTGTTGTGATGAGTGGTTATGCAAATGGTGGCCAGATGGATCAGGCTCTTGAAATGTTATTAGAAGCCAAGGAAAAGCATACGAAGCTGAGTCCGGTGACTTATCACACTCTAATTCGTGGATACTGCAAAATTGAAGAGTTTGACAAGGCGTTGAAGCTTTTGGCTGAGATGAAGGATTTTGGGGTCCAACCTAATGTTGATGAATACAATAAATTGATCCAGTCTCTTTGCTTGAAGGCTTTAGATTGGCAAACAGCTGAGAAACTACTCAATGAAATGAAGGAGAATGGCTTGTATCTTCCTGGAATCACCCGAGGTCTTATACAGGCAGTTAAGGAGCTGGAAGCTGAGGGAGCGGACAGCAGGGAAGCAGCCACTGAAGTTTAAATCTTTGCTGATTTTAGGAAATGGATGTAACATTCAGATGTTCAACGTTAAATTTTTAGCCTTCCCCCCTTTTGACATTAAGTTGATGTGAGGCCTGTGTCAATTTCTTTGTTGTCATCTATATGCATCTATTTACATGAATCAATTGAGACAATGTTTTTTGTTTTGGGGGATGCATTTTTGGGTTCTTTATACTTTACATTTGGAAGGCAAACTTCCTTGTAGATTTTTTTTTCTCTTTCTTTTTTCCTCCACAAGTGAGAATAAGAAGACAGTGGTTCAACATGTGTCGATTTATATTTGAAGTTCATTACTATTTTTTATTGTACCCATTTGGTTGTTTTGTTTCTTCCCTTAAGAGTATAGTCTAGGATTAAGTGGTTGGAATAGCTTAAATTTACTGGTTTGTTTAGTTTTTTTATCCTTTCTCTCAGAACCACGATCCACTGTGTTTACAATCAGAAATCAGGCTATAATGGCACAAATAGATTCATTTTCAGCTGTTCAGAGGATCTCCTGATTGTGACATTTACTTAAACTGACTGCCATTTGATGATTCTAACAGTAAGGCATTAATTTCGAAAATATTGAATCGTGGAGATAAGCATGCCTAACATTACCTTGATATTTATGTGGCGTGCTCTAAGCTTCAAGTAATTTTTGGTCCTTTAACAGAATATAGATTAACTTGACACTTGCTGGGGTTATTTGCTTCTAATTTATTGTGATCTCTTAAGTGAATTCATTGAAGAGAAACAGGTTGGAGAATCATGAACTTAACAGTCCCTTACTGTCTGGTTTGAAACCTATCAATTAAAATTCTCAAAACAATTAGAGGTTGGAACTATTATCGTTTGTGGTTAATGTTTCTAATTGACATATCAAATACCTTAACTAACTTGCATTGAGCAGCAATTTAGGAAAGGAAGGAATGATCAGAGGTTTCTATGATTATATAATAAAAAAGGATAATTTTTCCTTTATGAGTTTATTTAAGCTATTTGAAATCCTTTGATAGTTAACTCTCGACTGCTTTGCCTAAAGATTATAAGCTATTGTGAGAATGGTATCAACTTGTTCACTCATGAACTAATTCTGCAGATTGCTATTCAACTATGATACTGTAGATTGTCGGGTCAGCCTATTCACAATAAGAAGCAGAAGGTAATGGTTACTCGGGGCAAGAAGCAAAGCTTCATGGCTTGGAACATGAAGCAGGAAGATAGGAAAACCACCATTAGCGTGTGTAAACTTTAAAGCAGATAAATTGGCTTGGGCTTAAGATATTCTGAAATAGACAGTATGATTGTCTTGTGAGGCTACTAAATATGTGCAAGGGTTTTTAGAAACTTAATTCCGTTGGAAATCCTTGTTTATTGGCAAATGCTCTAGCTGTATTCAATCAACTATGAACAATGTAGTAATTTTTATTCCCCTTTTCCATCGTGCTACTGGGTTTTTAGTATGGCTGTCGCTGTTCAGTGCCTGTACTATATCCCTTTTTAATAAAAAGGACATCAGACTGGAATCGGATACCTTCTGGCTATAATGTTTTATTTTTATGCAAATTTTCCTCAACAATTTGTTTCCTTTGTTTGAATATGTGGCAGCAAATTTCCAGAAATTTCACCAAAATAATAAAAACTGAAACATCTCAATATCTTAAAAAGCAAAAGAATAACTGAGAAGAACACAAGATGGGTCTGATTTAGAGTCAAATGCTGATCTTCACAAACTGGAATTGGAATTCCAATAACCAAAACCCTTACAATGCTGCAGACTCCAAATCAATAGAAATGGAATAAACGGATTGACAACCAGAAGAGAAGTTATTCTTATATTTAGGAGGAGAATCCTTTTTTGAATTGGTTTAAAGCCAAACCTCGCACCACGAATGAAAACTATAAGGCAAAGAAAACACCAGAAAGAAGAAAAACACTAGAAAAATCTAAAAGACAACACCAGATAAAAGAAAAACGCTAGAAAAAGTTAAAAGACAACACCAGAGAGATGACAAACATTAGAAAAAGTTAAAAGACAACACCAGAAAAAGTTAAAGACAACACCAGAAAAAGTCAAACACCCATCATCAGTAACCGCCCCTAAGTCGGAGCACAAGATGGAGAGTCGATTCCTTCTGAATATTGTAATCAGCAAGGGTCCTGCCATCCTCCAGCTGCTTCCCAGCGAAAATCAACCTCTGCTGATCAGGCGGAATCCCCTCCTTATCTTGAATCTTCGCCTTCACGTTATCGATTGTATCTGAGCTTTCCACCTCCAGAGTGATTGTCTTTCCGGTCAGGGTCTTCACAAAAATCTGCATACCTCCACGAAGCCTAAGAACAAGGTGAAGGGTCGACTCCTTTTGGATATTGTAGTCCGCAAGGGTGCGACCATCTTCGAGTTGTTTGCCGGCGAAGATGAGCCGTTGCTGGTCTGGAGGGATCCCCTCCTAGTCCTGAATCTTAGCTTTGACGTTATCGATGGTGTCAGAGCTTTCGACCTCCAGAGTAATGGTTTTCCCAGTCAGGGTTTTGACGAAAATTTGCATACCGCCACGAAGACGGAGGACCAAGTGTAGAGTAGATTCCTTTTGGATGTTATAGTCAGCGAGAGTTCGGCCGTCTTCGAGTTGCTTCCCGGCAAAGATCAAGCGCTGTTGATCGGGAGGGATGCCTTCCTTGTCTTGGATCTTGGCCTTGACATTGTCGATGGTGTCGGAGCTCTCCACCTCCAGGGTGATGGTTTTTCCGGTGAGAGTTTTAACGAAAATCTGCATCTTGAAAAGGAACTAGAAATACTCTGCAAATGAAAGCAAGTTAGATCGTCGAAAATGATCCTTAGTTTTGCTCGTACGCAAGGGCAATGAGAAGGGGATTTGATTATTATATAGAAGAAAAGGTTAGCCACTGGACCAAGGAGTTGGACAATGGAAATCCAATCCAAACCAATGGGCTCTGGATGTTACCAGAATTAAAATCAATTGTCGACAGCTAAGGTGGCTTCGCACGGGTCTTAGGATTTCTTACAGCGCAGGCAAAAGCACAGCGTCATCGCTCACTCCCAAGATTTTTTAAATTTCCGAAAAAAAAAAATTGTCCTCCAAAGAAAAAGAATTTTAAGAGTGACAAACAAATAAAAAAAATTACTTGGTACATCCCCGAAACGAAGTTTTTAGATTCTGGATTGAAGATGAAATTGGCTCTAACAAAATTGACCGTAAGTGAAACTGAATACTGTAAAAGGAAGATTAAATCAATAATAAAAATTTATAATTGAATACAAACACAGAAGTTTCATGTAAGATAATTAAGTACTCAAAGGGCTAATTATTCACTAAACCCTTCCTCTTAAAATGCTATTAAAATGCACTTGCGGTGCAATTAACTTTAAAAATCGATTCAATTTTGCTATACCACAAGTGTCGTGCACCCCAAATCAAGAAATTTAATAACGATGTATTTTATATATAAGATCATAATAATATAAAATAAAATAATATTATAATTAAAATAAAATAGAATAATTTTATTTTATATTTGATTGTGTAAAAATTAAAATAAAATAATTTATTTATTAATCAAAATTATTTTTTTTAAAAATTTATATAATTTAATTTATTAACGTAATTTTTAATGATACAATAAAATATAAAAATTCAATACCAATGATTAAAAATAATTTGTCACTTTGAAAAAATTAAATAAACTTAATCAAGAGGATAATTACTCGTAATACTATTTATTTATTTAAATACAAACTAAACATTATATAAAATAATTGTTATCTTATTTTATTTATCATTTTATGCACTAAATATAATTTAAATATATTAAATTATTAATCAGACATGTATTAATAACTTTTATTAGTTCCCAAATTAAAAAAATTAGTTAATCTACAATTGTATAATTAAAACCAGCAACCCTTCTGACCACGAGCTTAGCTCGATTTTGACTAATCTTGGATTGGATGAGATTTTTCAAGCTCAAACCTCTAGTTGGTTTGGATATTATTTTTTATTAGGTAAGTATCAATATTACGTTACGAGAGTGTAATCAAAATGTAATATATATATAATTATTTTATAATTAAATAGAATAACTAATATAACTCATTTCACGTCTCAAGCTATTAGTTTTTGAAGTATTTAACCTTCTGAACCTATTAAGAATCAACTTATTCCTTACATCCAAAACATCATAAAGTATCAAATCATTTCAACTCAACCTAAAAAATCTAGTGGCAGTAATGATCCCAAGAGAATCAACATTAACTATTTTATAAAATATATTGACAAAACAAAATCAAAGACCAAAATATTAACGAACTCTTTAAAAAAATAGATATTTAAAAAAATTTAAACCGTAAAAAACTAAATAAACTATATTAAAAAGCAACATAATAGCTTAACAAAGCTGTAAAAAATAAATTAAAACAAAAATTCATCAACTATAACAACTAAATAAATAAATAAATAAAAAGCAAGAATCACAAACACATAAGAAAAATCTGGACTAACCTTCACCACCCTGTATGAGCCAAAAACAAAAAAGAAGCAAACTTGATATAATCACCCCATTTCATCCGGTTGTCTCAATTAAATTGTCCTTGGGTCCATTTTAGATTCAAGCACATTAGATTTTCGAATTTGATTGGGCTTTGAGTCCAAATATTTCAATTTCATAAAAAATATAGAAAAAAAAAATTGTGTTGGAATGCAAGTTGAAATATGAAAAATCATGAGAATATAAGATGTAGACACCTTATTTGATCCGAACTCAAAATAATTAAGTCCAAAACAATTAAGCCTAATCTAAGCAAATCCAAATCTATCCCAACCCAGTTTTCCATTTTATATTTCCTTTGTTAATTTTATTGTTAGGTTTTATATTTTATTATTTTATGATATTTATCTTTGGTTTATCTATTTGTATATATCTTATTATTATTATTTAGTTATTTATTATTTAATTATTGGTTTTCTTTATCTAATTTTTCTTTATTTATCTTTATTACTATTTTTTTATTTTTAAGTATTATCTAAATAGGTTTTAAAAAAAAGGGAAAATATATTATAAAAAAAGAGAAAACATAAAATTAAAAATCAAACGCTGGAAATTGTTTGGAGGAGAGATTGGCTAGTTAAGATTGGATTGGATTTATGCTCTTAAATGATAAATGTTAATAAAGGATTTTTCTTAGGGACTAAAAAAAAATATTAATCTGGTGATAAGTTGGAATTTTTTTTTTTTGAAGAATCTAATCCTCATTGAAATGTTGGTTGAGTTGGGATTCTTTACTTTTAAATAGATAGAAACACATAAATTATGAAAAGGAACAACATAACAACATAGTACACAGAGCAATAAAAATTTTTGAAAGGCAAGGGAGTTTCTAGCAAGAAAAGGTTTTATTTGGGGAAGTTGGGAGTTTTTGAGAATTTAATTTGGCTTAGTTGGTGTTTTTGGAAGATTTTAGGTCCCCATAAGGATAATTTGATTTTTTTTTGCAAATTTTCAAAAATTTTGGATTTCTTTTTGGAAAATTTTTGAAGAATTTTTGGAATTCCAGAATTCGATTGAATTTTTTGACAGTTTGATGACTTTTTTGGTCAAATCCCTAATTTTCAACGACCATTTTAG